AAACCCACTCATTAAATTTAAAGATCTGGTCCTGCAAGAGCAGTTTTTGTTCCTAAAAGGCATACCAGTTGTACTTTTTTTAATTCACAAAGATTTACAATATTACTTTGTTTTCTGGAGGATTTTTCCTGTTCTTTAATTTGATTCTATAATGAGTGTTACCAAACAAATGTAAACAAATGTAAAAATTAAGATGTGTCATTTAAATGCAACTGAAAAGCTGAGAATTTTGTAGCTATTTAATTTCACTTTAATTTCTTCAGCTTCTTTTGCAAAAAATAGTCCTTGTCTGTTTTAACTTTTAAATAAAATAAATTTATCATTCTTTTCACTAGCATTATTTTTAATTACACTGGTTCTTACTTAACTGAACTATTTGCTCAACCTAATTATAATCAGCAGCTGCACATCCTGACCTGCCTCATTGGGACATACCGCACACTCCATGCCCACCAACCACAATGGCCCTTCCTGTGAGGGTTGTGGAATTAAAAAATACAAACCAAAAACCCCTGTAATTCTAATGGAATTACTTTTATACAAACCAAACAATGTATTAAAATAAAATGAATATTGAGGGAAACCCAAAATAGGAGGAAAATCAGAAATGAAATGAGAAAACATCTAATAATAAAAAGACTGACACAAAACATGGATTTGAGTCAAGCTCCTTTCCCTTTTTTTAAATCTCACCTGAGGACATTTTTTCATTGCTTTTAGAGAGGGAGGAAAGAAGGGAGTAAGGGAGAGAGAGAAACATTGATGTGAGAGAGAAGCATCGATTGGTTGCCTCCTGTAAGTACCTAGACCGGGGATTGAACCTGCAACCTAGGTATGTGCCCTAACCAAGTACTGAACCTACAACCCTTTGGTTACGGTATGACACTCCAACAAACTGAGCCAAACTGGCCACTGCCAGGCTCCTTAACTAGTTTTAAGTATTGGGCAAGTCACTTAAATTTCAAAGTCTCACTTTCCTCACTGCTATTACAAGGGTTTTGAACTTGATGATCCCTAAGGTCTTTTAGCTATAAAATTCTATGATTCTATAAAAATAAAATGAGAAAAAAAATTTTTAAAGGTAAAATGAAGAGGTGATGGAGACACATATGTGTATGTGTGTTTATGTGGAGTTAGCATCTGTCCTTTCCATTTCTCTTCGCTATGTTCCTGACTTCTACAAATCACTACTCAGTATGAGCTGACGGCAGTTTTCCAAGCACGGCTTACTTGCTAAAATCTTGTTTCTTTTTCCCCAATAGCTTATAAAAGCCTATGCAGTCTATTCTTGAAGAAGATACAAACTGCTGATCACAGAGCTAAACACGCTAAACTTGCTGCCTAAATTCAAAACCACAAATATCTTATCTATATATCATAAAAGTTCTTGCCCCAAATATGATGAAAACTTACTTACTACATAAAAATTGATGTAAAATGTCCTATCAGGACATTTTAGTTTTATTGCAGAATCTGTGTCAATAAATTTATCAGAATAAAAAAATAATGAGAAAAAATAAAGAAACAGAATATAAATATCTATAAGTAGATGTATGATATTAAAGTTGTTTTAAAATCTTAAATAAAATATGCTCTGTCTGGCATGGCTCAGTAGATTGAGTGTTGGCCCATAAAGCCAGAGGTTGCTGGTTCGATTCTGGTCAGAGCACATACTTGGATTGGGGGCCTGGTCCTGGGCTGGGGCGTGAGGGAGAAGAAACCGATTCATGTTTCTCTCACACTCTTTCATCCTAACTCCCCCTCTCTCTAAAATAAATAAATAAAGTCTTTGTAAAAATCCTAAGTAAAATAGTTCAATGAAAAAGCATCACGAGCCCTGAGTGGTATGGCTCAGCAGATTGAGTGCCAGGCCACGAACCTAAAGGTCGCCAGTTCGATTCCCAGTTCCAATGCCTGGGTTGCAGGCCAGGTCCCCAGCTGGGGGTGTGTGAGAGGCAGCTGATAGATTTATTGATGTTTCTCTTCCTCTCTTTCTCCCTCCCTTCCCTTCTCTCTAAAAATAAATACAGTAAATGTTTTTTAAGAAAGCATTATGAGTCAGATATATATTTCATAGACTTTCAATATTAATGATTTTGATGTATCATCACAGGCAAGCCAAGGGATTAGCTTCAGTTTCCAAATATGAATCAAAAGTAGAAAAAATATATAATTGTATATAGCAGTTTGTTTAGTAATGAACTATAAAATCATAAATTTGAATGACTAATTTCAATGTACTGTGATCCAAGGCCATCTCTCGGTAATTCAGTGTTTTAGTCTACACAAAGCACAATAAACACACAAAACATTTCCTATTAAACTGATCATATATAATAAATTACAATTCATGTTTTAGTGTATCTAGAAGTTATTACCATAATATATTTTGTGGGTAGAAGTATTTCAACTGTGTTACTTTCGTCAGCATCTGTTTAAAATTTTGCAGCCATTGCCTCAAACTACCATAAATGAAGTATGTTAACCTGATAGGGAGTCCCAATTTAAAAGCCAAATTTACAATCTGAGAATTGACACAATCAGTCCAGTATTAAGGCCCTGGGGGATAAAAGATTAACTTAAATAATACTTTACTAACAGATAAGGATTTACAAGATCTTTCAAATGTGGAAGAAGCATAGGCAATTTTACGGTGGGTCACAGCCAAAATAATGTCACAAAAAACCCCTGATGTCCATATTTTTAATTTCTAACAAACCTGTATGGTTCACTAATAAAAGCTGTGCTGGTAATGTGTACCCAGGTAACGCTGGAAAAAGTGGCACCTGCCACCTAATTATGCTTAAAAACAGACATACAAGACACATTTCCACCTAAGACACACCTCTCCCATCCCTATTTGATCTCATACCACCATAAAGACTGCCAATGACCTGGATTCTTTCTACTCCAGAAGGCTCTCCTCTGCCCTTTCCTAACTTCTTTCCTCCTTAAAAGCTATCTTTGCTCATGTTTGTTTTGATACAATTTCAACCATATAAAATGGCAATGGGTAAGAAAGACACACAGCCTCCAGCTGTGAAATTCTCTCTGCTCACGGAGACCCTAAAAACGCAAACATTCCTCTCACACACACCATCCCTCAGGCAGTTTCACAAGCAAAATAATCAGCCTCCCTTCAGACAATTAGTATGGGGAAGAAGAGAGGGGGGGAAACGTTTTCCAAGAGAGATAAGGCTTGTACAAGTTTATTTCTTTACAATCTGGCATTCCTCCTTCTTGACTGCATTTCTGTTGACTATATGTCTGCTGTTATCAGCCACTATCAACACAGATAGGCAGCCTCTAAGATGACCCCCAAAGATCCTTGCATCCTGGGATTTATGCCCTGTGTAATCCTCTCCAGATCGATTTTGAGTTGGATTACTGACCCACTTCTAACATACAATGTTGCAGTAGTGATGAGACAAATTTCTGAGATTAGGTTATAAAAGACTATGTATAGGGTCTTGGGTGCTCTCTCATAGATTGAAGCCAGCTGCTATATTGTGAGGCAGGCCTATGACGGAGCCCGATATGGTGGAACAGAAGAGTTAAAATCCTCACTCCACTGGCTATTATTTACTGGATCTTGGGGGAATTTACTTGACTGTTCTAAGCTTTAGTTTGTTCATATGTAATGTGGGAAATAATAATACTTATGTTTAAATGGCTGTTGTATGAAATGAAATAACTCATATAAAGTTTCATTCCATAGCAAATAATCACTAAGATGTTACCTATTAATTTGTTTTGACAAAAATAAGATTTTAATAACTTAAAATAACCAGGTGAGTGCACTTGGAAATGGATCCTTCTACCCCTCAATGGAGCCTCCAAGTGAGACCTCAGCCTCCAGGAACAGCCTGACTACAGCTGCATGAAAGTACATGAGTCAGAGGTGCTCTGCTAACTTGTGCATAAACTTCCAACCCACAAAAACTTTGACATAACAAATGTTTGTTATTTTAAGCAGCTAAATTTGGGGCTGATTTGTTACTCAGCAATAGATAACTAACACAGTATCTCATCAGACATATTCTCAAGGTTAACTGGACAAAAATAAGAAGTTTCCTACTCAAACTGAAAAAATTGAATAAAATTTATTCTTCATTCTGATCAATTTTGTAAACCAATTTTCTTAGGCCGTGGTTGGGGGGACCCTTCTACCTCAGAAATAAGGTTACCAAACACCAAACATTAATAAAAGTAGAAGAAAAGCTGAAATAGAAAATATAAATTAGCTCCACTTTGCAGCAGTAAAGGTCATGATATACTAATTTGGGGAGAAACACCTAGGATCCTTAAAAATATAAATTCCAGTTGATAAAACAAGTAGCTTTAGTTATTAAGTTACTAAATACATACAGAACTTGAAAATAAAACAAGAACGAAATACTCAAATGACTGAGGATTAGGAATCAATGTAATTTTATCCAATTAACAATATTTAATTGACACCCCCCATGAAGAAACTAGAGCTGAGTCACAGAGAAACAAGAGAGGACCAACTAAGAATCTGCCAAATTTATAACCAAAGTTTGACAACTGAAGCAACTGGCAATTTATCGTGACCTTAACTGTGTTTGCATTCGTATTACTGAAAAGAAGGCAAAGAACCGAAAACTGTGCCTATCCACACCCCCTGTCCCCATTCTGCTTGAAAAGCAACACCTTGGGTTAGAATAGAGTATCATTGACATTCCTCGGCTTTATTTAAGAATAAAGCCTGGTCACTCTGGGGTCCCAAGCTGACCTACCCCAGTGGCCTAGAAACACAGGGAACAGCCTACTCCCGCCTCCTGACACCGATTCCTCATTTCAATAAGCCATCACCACTGTCACTCAAGATGTTTGCACTGTCATTGGTCCCAAAGTCTTGCTGGTTGGCAAGTTTCTGCCAACTGGCAAGCACCGGTTATCTTATTTCCGAAAGGAAAAGTAGAAAAGTACCAGGAAAAGAGACAAGAGCTCTGAAATAGCTAGGCTGACACTTGTACCTGAGCGACCTGCGATCCCCACCGCCGCCGCGACGAATCAGCCTCTTGGCGGGGGCTTTTAGCCAAAAAAGAAAAAAAGAAAAAGGCTCAGCCAGGAACTGGTGCCCAGGCCATGAAGAAGCTGGTTCAAACTTTACTTGTTCACGCCCGTGGAGGTGACGGCGGCGAGGACCCCAGAAACAGCACTGTATTCCTCCAAACTGAAAGCACCTCCAGCTGCGGCAGCTAGAGCTGCCGACTGTGCGAGTTTTGACGTTTCCTATTGTTGCCGGAAGTGACGTCAGGGGTATGAGTCTTAAAGAAAAAAGCAGTTTATTCCCATTGTTTACGATTCGTTATAAATTCCTTGTTTCCTCACTTCGCATCCTGAGCCACTCTGAGCATCAAAACTAGACCAAGTTCTGCCCTGCCGCTTGGGATCGGACTAACCATCGAGAAGGTTCTCAACAGAGTCAGTGTCCTCAGGGGTCTGGACGAACGTGATGTAGAATCTGCAGCAAGGAATCGTGGAGCTCTGGGGAGCCAGCGGCTTTGAAGATCTTGCCGCTAAAGCCGCGGTGCTTGGCGGGCTTGGACGGGCTGTTCCAAATACAAACGGTCGGCGCGAGGAGCGCACCAAGGCAGGAGTCCGATCGTAGGGACTCGTTGCTGGACGCTGGCCTCCCGTGGCTATCTCTGGTTGTATATGCAACCTCTCCCTTTCCTCTTCGGAGCCCGCTTCTTTGCTCAGCGGCTGCTGGGTGAGCCCGGGGGAACTGGCGAGGCTGCACCTTCGACTGGGCTGGGGTCTCCTGTCTCCGATGCCCTTACCGAGGCCCTGGGTGAGATGACCAGGTCTGGCTTTTCATCTTTTTAAATCAAGTGGAGGGAGGGGAGCCCAAGATGTGGCTTGCCGATATACCCAACTGGTACGCCCCTTTGTAACAACAAAGTAGGCAGAATCGCGGCAGCTCATCCTTTGAGATTAGGTTGTGATTTATGGTCGGGAAGTTACAAGACTGACTGATTTCCTCCTATTGGATCTGAGCTGAGGAGCGATCCAGCTCCTTGGAAATATTGACTAGAAGGGAGAGATGAAAGAAATGGATGTTTCCTTGCTTGCATTTCCCTGATGTTTCAATATTTTTCCATTTTCCTAGAAGACTGTTGATTTTTCCTTCGCTGTGAAAAAAAATCCATCTTGACGTTTTGATTCCGGAATTATGGCTATATTAGACTTTTTCCTAAAATTATCCAAACCTTTGAAGAATTTTATATGTAAACACAACAGTCCCACTTAACTCTATACTTGCCGCTTCTTTGTTTTTTCCCCGTTTTCTCAATGTTTTCTTTCCCAGACCATTCTCCCTACCTCTTAGAATAGTATATCCCTGATACCTTTTTGCGAAAAGTTTTATAAACTTATTTTTTCCTCATCTCTACTCTACTCTTTATACAGTTTATTCCCCTACTCTATTTTTATATTTTATTATTTATGCTATTACAGTTGTCCCACTTTTTACCCCTTCTCCCCACTCCACTCAGCCCTTGCCCCCATCATTAGTCCCTTCACTGTTGTCCATGTCCCTGGGTCCTTCTGTATGTTTTTTGACTAACCCCTTCACCTTCTTTCAGTCAGTCCCTACTTCCCCTCTCTCCTCTTATAACTCAGTCTGTTCCATGATTCTATGCTTCTGGTTCTATTTTGCTTATTAGTTTATTTTGCTTATTAGATTCCTATACTCCTCTATTTTTGATACACATTTTTTATATATGATTGTCACAAACTTATCATGGTTATCAACCAATTGTTACAGTCAGTATAGTGGCTTCATTCTGAACAAACTTGTCATGGTTATCAACCAATTGTTACAGTCAGTATAGTGGCTTCATTCTGAACAAACTTATCATGGTTATCAACCAGTTGTTACAGTCAGTATAGTGGCTTCATTCTGAACAAACTTGTCATGGTTATCAACCAGTTGTTACAGTCAGTACAGTCTGAACAAAAATCACTCCCAGTTCAATGGCATTATACTGGGAGGCATCATTTAATGACCTCCAACAGCAATGATATTTAGTTAGACTAAAAATCTATTGAGTTCAGTTGGGCAGATCTGAATTGCAGAGAGCTAGCTAGAGGAAGCTAGAAAGCAATAGTGAGACCAGCTCAATGTTAGAATCTAGACTACAAGCTAAGTAATATCTCCTTTAAATTTCCTTTGATATAGGTTATAAAGTATAAATATTAATATTTTCTTAAAGTTATAACTTATTTTGCATAAGCCATAGATTATTAATTCTTTTAATATCTTAATTTTTTAATTTTACAATAGCAAAGCCTTTCATGGAACTGTAGAGCAGTACCTAATTTTTCTATAATATTCACATTTTGTATCCCTTTATTTTTTTTCTATCTTGTTTTATCACTTATCTCCTTCACCTACAGATCCAAGCTGTACTTGTATCTTACCCTTCTTCAAAATATTTATTCTGCTGGTACTGAAGAGGATGTGTTCCAGGAACATACTTTGTTCTCAGAATTTCCATTACCAGAGGTAGAAATAATGAGACATTGATATATGTTCCAGCACTTCAGAGAAAGCAAAGATGGAAAGATACCATAGAGTGTTAAATAAAACAAAATTACATGTATTGGAAAGATGGGATATATATTTGGAATATTAAAGTTTATGGGAAGGAATATAATTTATATTAAAGTTATAGAATGTCTTAGGGGAAAAGGTGCCCCTAGAAGAATTGTATTAAGATAGATAAGTCTGACACTTAAATCAAGCTCAGACCTACTATATTGGCCAATGACAATACTTAAGAATATATATTTTTTGTAATTACAGCTGGATTAGTTCCCACCTCATCTTTTCTTGGAAAGTAAAGGCTGGTCATGGGAACTCATTGTTCTCACTGCTTCCATGGTCCATCTCTCTGTCCCCCAGTCGTCCTAATGATGTTAAATAAGATTGGCCTTTTTGGCCAGTATTTTTCATAATGTGATTTCAGGATTACTTCTTTTTTTCTAGTTATCTATCTCCCATTTGACAGAACCTAAAATTTCCTTTGCCTAAAAATGTAAATATTTGGTTGAAGTAATTTATTGGCTGAAAAATAGTTACTGAAATGCATGCACGAGTATATAAAAATATGTCCAATAACCTGTTCTTTGCATTGATCAAGGAGAGGAAACTTGGATCAGGAAGATACTGTGTTGCTAAAATGGAGAAAGGGTTCAGAAGCCCCTAGGGTGGCTAGGGGCTTCAACTAGAGATCTTGCGAAATTTAGGATTTTGCACATGGTTAGCCTTATTATCTCTAGTTAGGTACAGATAGAAGATGTGTAAGGAGATGACTTCTATCCTGGGCAACTGCTGGAAGGTTGACTGGGAGGAAAGATCATCCTAACTCTATTTCACCAGATTTATGAATTGTTTTGTTTTGTTTTTAATGTCATGACTTCACTTTAAAGGAGCTACATTCCCAGAGGATTCATTACTCAAGGTATTGTTTTATATTATTTGTCTTCTATAAAGTGTCCATGAACACTTACAAATAGATATTTTTAAGTATATTATTGAGCTTTGCCTTACTAGTTAACTAGACTTACAGTTTAAATAGCTATATCTTTTATCTCCTTCTTGCAAAGGTTGACTATTTTTTTTTAAATCTGTTTATTTTATAAACCTCCTAGGGAATAACCTTTTTTGAGAATTTAACAAAAAGCCCTGCTACATGCAATAGAAAGATCATTTAAAAATATAATTCCATGGTATTCTTTTCTTTGGGATTTTAAAAAATGAATCATTTTATTTAAAATGTCAGCCATTTTGCATGTCTTTTGGTGCACACAAACATAAACACATTATTCTGTTACGTATATTCTTTGGAGTCATGTTTCTGTCTCATAGGCCCTGTGTATGTCAGCTTTAGTAGATATCGCCAATAAATTTCCCAAAGTAACCATACTAATTTACCTTTTCACAGCAGTCTGAGTTTCAGATCTTCTAAAACCTCTCATTTTTATTTACTTTGTAATTGCCTAATAATTACTGGGATTGAGTATCTTTTTATATGTTTACTCTTCTGCAAAATTCCTGTTCAGGCCTCTTTCCCGCACTTTGGTTATCTTTCTTTTTCTTGTTTCTTCGTAGGAATTTCTCTGTGTACCCTAGATATAAATATTTTTGATGGTTATATATATGACAGCATCCTTTTCCATCAATGATTTATCTTTTCACTCTTAAAGGTGTCTTTTGCTGAACAGAAGTTACTAATTTTAGTGTGTTTCATTTTACCAGTTATAAGAAATCTTTCTGTACCTGAAGCTCATAAAGACTATTCTCTTATGTGATCTCCAGAAAACCTGTTGTCTTATATTTTACATTTAGATTTTCAACAAACCTGAAATTAATTTTGTGAAGAATGTGAGGTACCGTTTACATCAGAGGTTCAAGATTTATTTATTCCATCTGGATACTCAATTGACAAAGTACCATTTATGGAAAAAGACCATCCTTTCTCCAGGGCTACTCAACATCAAGTCTGTCATAAATCTAGTGTCAATATATGCATGGTCTCTTTCTGGACTCTATTCTGTTCCATTGTTCTATTTGTACATCTTCTCACTAATTCCAGATTTAACTGTATACTGAATCTTAATATCCAGTGGTTAAGTCCTCCAATTTTGATCTTGATAGTTTTTCTTTATCTTTTGCATTTTTATATAAATTTTAGACACAACTTGTCAATTTCCACCTAAGAAAAACTGCAGGGATTTTGGGGAGGAAGTCAGGAGGGAATACATTGAATGTATGAATCAACATATTGAGTCTTCCAGTCGTAGACCAAGGGGCATACCTCTTCTATTTAGGGCTACTTTAATGTGGCTCAGTAAACTTGTATGGGGTTTTTATTGAAGTCTTAACACATCTTTTCTAAATCTATTCATATGTTTATGATTATTTATTGAGACTATAGTAAATTGTTTATACATATATAATTTTTAAACATTTTATAATTATTTGGAGAATACAGGGAAATACAATTGATTTTTGTATATTGGCTTTCTATCTAGCAACCATGTGAAATTCACTTTTGATTTTTTTATATACAATTATGTTTTCTGTGATTAATGACATTTTTATTTCTTCCATTTTAGTCTTTACCCCTTTTATTTCCTTTTCTTGCACTTTTGTACTATCTACCACCTCTAGTACAATGTTGAATAGAAATGACGAGACTTGGTAAGCGTGCCTCATTCCCAATCTCAGGAAGAAAGTGTTTAATATTTCACTTAATATTAAATATGATGTTTGCAAGAGATTTTTGTAGATACCTTTATCAAGTGCAGGAAGTTCCCTTCTACTGCTAATGCCCTAAAAGTTATATAATGAATGAGTGTTGAATTTTATCAAATGCTTATTCTGCATGCAGTGAAATAATTATATGATTTTTTTCTTTATTTGTTAATGTATTTAATTATACTAATTTTTTTTGCCTTGTTTTATAGTTTGAATAACAACTTGATACTATTGTATTAATTCTGTTCAAATTCTTTTAGCTTTGACCATTAGGAGCTATTTCATTTGGTTCCTGTGTCCTTTTGACATACCCCCATCAGTGTTGGATTGGTTTGTTTGTTTTGTGTGTACTTTCTGGACCTACATAATAGTTCATCTTGCATATTTCCTGCCCCAGTCCTAGAATTAGCCGTTTCTCCAGGGACTGCTGGTTCCTTTTATAGGAGAATAGCATTACACACAAGATCTGGATGCCATGTGTGCTCTTTGCTACTGGGGTGTCGATGCCTTTTAGTCACTTTCAGCTGTCAGAGAAAGGAAATATATGTGTATGTACTAAGCTGTCTATATCCACACATCTATAAATATTTCAGTATGAAACTATCTCTATCTATATTAAGCTAAACATGAATTCATACTGATGTCTCTAACTGATCCACTGAACATGGCTTATCCTAGTCTCCTCCCTTGCCTTATCTATAAATTCTCACTCCAGCCATGACACGTGGTTCCTACTCTTCAGCCATCCATTTGCTTAATTGTTCAGTTCCAGGATGTATGTATAAAAGTATAAGAGTTAACTCATTTATATATGGAAAACAACTTTATAAACTAAACCTAGAGAAGCAGGCAGGTAGTTGTTCAGCTTAGCAAGGAGGGAAAGTAAAAAATCCAGGATTTAGCAGCTCTTTGTATGAACTTTCTAATACGCATCCTATTTAGCACCCCCTGGCCTCACTCCTCACAGAACTGTAAGGGGCCCCTTGTTTCTGACCCTGTCTTGCTGCTGCTGGTTTCCTCCTAAATAGACAGGTGGAACTGGCCTGCCTCTGCTATGCTAGGTTGGTTATCACTCATTCTTCTGCTCTTAATCTTCCAAAATTTTGTTGATACCTCTTCTGTCATATAGAATCCCTCTAGTTCTGTTTGTTTTGGTTAGTATACATGGTTTTTAATCATTTTTTTTTTAAGCAAAAGATCTTATTGGAAACTGTGTGAGGTCAGAGCCCTGAGAATAATGACTAAATCTGTGCTAAATTTCTGTCTTCATTTTTTGCTGATTTTTTTTTTGATGTAGCCTTTATAAGCATCCAAAATAGTCACTGATGGAGATTATTTGGGGTTAATGTGTCTTCCTAAATGGTACTTTGTTGTTCAAAATAAACTATCTGGGAGAGTATAATATATGAGACACATTGTAAGAACATGAACATAAGGCAGACTTTTTTTATAAGGAAAAAATATTGGAAAAAGCACACCTTATAAGGCAGTACTAGATCAATAGGGAAGATAATTAGGGAAGAAATAACCAAGATACGATAAATATGGTAAGTGTCCATAGGAGATATGACAAAATAGAATAGAGAAGCTTCAAAAATATTCAGACTTAACCAGTGTTTTATGGATTTTTATTTTTAGGTGAAATAGTAGATTATTTCAAAAGCTGGAGCTGAATATAATGTTAAATAATGGCAACAGGTGACTTAAAGAGAAGCTTACGGAACCTAGAGCAAGTGCTTCGTTTGCTAAATTATCCTCATGAGGTGGATTGTGTAGGGTAAGCTGTAATATAAAACTTAATTTGTAGTCTTTGCGGTAATGATTTGATACAATATTTGACATGGGGGTCATTTCTAAATAAACACTGATTTTATAAAAAGTCCAACTCTAGAGATTTAAAATGTCTTTTAGAAGTAACAGCATAATATACATCAGTGTACAATTTTTAACCTCATAGAAATATAGTGAATTCACTGGTTACATAACTTACCATCTTCTCACATTCAGTTGGACAGTATTTCTTTAGGATTTGGAAGATTTACTTAATAGATTTCTTATGGTGGTTTATACCTTGCCTGAAGATTGTTAAGCTAACTCATATAACAGACTTCACTTTGAATATTTCACTTTAGTTTCTGTTTTCCAAATGTGACTTACTTGCTTTTGTAGAATGTAGCAACACACATTTCTTCTATATTCGTGCCAATGTAATATGGTATTCCTGTCAGTCTCTGTTTCCTAATGGTTTTTTCTTCTTACCTGGGATTAGTCATTGATTAAATATTCTCCCCTCTAGGAAGTAAGCTGATGCCTAGTACTTAGTTTTGTTCACTATAGTGTCCACACGTCTAGAATAGAACGATGCCTGGCACATGTTAGAAGCTAAGTAGACATTAATTCAATGAGTGTGAAGGGACAAGTCCAGATAAGGTAGATGTTCAAGTGGTAGAGTGAGTCTTGGTTAAACCATCTAAGTAGAATTCTGGAGTTTATATATGGGCTTTATATATCAAAATGGATGTTCTGATGGTATTCTAGGGAGAGTTAACACCAAGAGATGATGCAAATGAAAGGACAGTGAGGAGATCAAGGAGAAAATTGAGTTCTAGTGGCTATTACTATAGACATTATATACCAGTCGGTACGTGCCCTGGAAGCATACTATGGAACGCCTTTTGAGGAAAGACTGGTTCCTCAAAACAGGGAACTCTACTGTCGAGTCTTGCAGGACTTAACCAGTTTGAGTAGCCAGGTTTTTTTCTTACCACCTTATCCATCAACATTTTAAAGGACATTTTGTGTAGGGATAATTCTAAAAGATACCAATTATTTTTCTTTCTTCTGAGTACACTGTTTAAACTTTTGATTTTCTTATTGACCCGAGTGTCATTAAGAGCAATAATTTTTGTTTTTATTTTTTTAGAAAATTGATTTTTTTACTTTTTAAAGCTTTATTTTATTTTTTCCATTACCGTTTAGTCCCCTTATACTCCCTCCCCACAGGATCACCACACTGTTGTCTGCACCCATGAGTCCTTTTTCCTTGTTGCTCAGTCCCTCCACCCCCTCCCCTCCCCTCCCCCTTAGCTGTTACCTTGCTCTCCATCTGTGAGTCTGCCCCATTTTCCCTGTTAGTGCGGTTTGTCCATTAGATTCCGCAGGTGAGTGAAATCATATGGCATTTGTCTTTCTCTGATTGGCTTATTTCACTTAGGATAATGTTCTCCTGGTCCATCTATATAGTCTCAAAGGGTAAAATTTTCTCCTTTTTTTATGGTTGAATAGTATTCCAATGTGTAAATGTCCCATAGTTGTTTTAGCCACTCATCTACTGATAGACACTTGGGCTGCTTCCAAATCTTAGTGATTGCAAATAACACTGCAATGAACATAGGGGTGTTTATATTCTTTCGATTAGTGTTTTGGGTTCCTTTGGATATAATCCCAGCAGTGGGATTGCTGGGTCAAAAGGCAGTTCCAGTTTTAACTTTTTGAGGTATCTCCATATTGCTTTCCACAGAGATTGCATCAATCTGCATTCCCACCGACAGTGTGAGAGTGTTTCCCTTTCTGCACATCCTCGCCAGCAATTTTTTGGTGATTTATTGATGATAGCCATTCCCACAGGTGTGAGACAGTATCTCATTGTGGTTTTAATTTGCATTTCTCTGATAATTACTGACATTGAGCATCTTTTCATATGTCTATGGGCCATCTGTATGTCCTTTTTGTTTTGTTTGTTTTTTTTAATTTTTTTAAAGATTTTATTTATTTATTTTTAGAGAGAGGGGATGAGAGGGAGAAGGAGAGGGAGAGAAATATCAGTGTGTGGTTGCCTCTCATGTGGCCCCAACTGGGGACCTGGCCTGCAACCCAGGCATGTGCCCTGACTGGGAATTGAACCCTGAGACCTTTTGGTTCGCAGGCCAGTGCTCAATTCACTGAGCCACTCCATACAGGGCTGTATGTCCTTTTTGGAGAAGTGTTTATTCAGGTCCTTTGCCCATTTTTTTAGTTGGGTTTTTTTGTTTGTTTGTTTTCCTGGTGTTGAATTTTGTAAGTACTTTATAAATTTTGGACATTAGCCCCTTACCAGATGTATCCGCAAAAATGTTCTCCCATTCTGTGGGTTGTCTTTTTATTTTGTTGATGATTTCCTTTGTTATGCAAAAACTTTTTAGTTTGATGTAGTCCCATTTGTTTATTTTTTCTTTTGTTTCCCTTGCCTAGGGAGATATATCTGACAAAAAAATAATTGCTACTAGCAATGTCCAGGATTTTGCTGCCTATGTTTTCTTCTAGGATTTTTATGGTTTCAGATCTAACATTTAGGCCTTTGATCCATTTTGAATTTATTCTTGTATGTAGTCTAAGAAGGTGGTCTACTTTCATTTTTCTGCACATTATCTGCCCAGTGTTTCCATCACTTTATTGAATAGACTACTTTTAGCCCATTGTATGGCTTGTTTCCTCTGTCAAATATTAATTGACTGTGAAGGTGTGGGTTTATTTCTGGGCTCTCTATTCCATTCCACTGATCTATGTGTCTGTTTTTATGCCAGTACCATGCTGTTTTGATTACTATGGCTATACTGTATAGTTTGGTATTAAGTAGCCTGATTCCTCCAGCTTTGTTCTTCTTTCTCAGGATTGCTGTTGATTTTAATGATGTTAATTCTTCCTATCCATGAACATGGTATGTGCTTACATTTATTTGTGTTTTCTTCAATTTCTTTCTTCAGTGTCTTATAATTTTCCAAGTACAGGTCTTTTACATTCTTGGTTAGGTTTATTCCTAGGTATTTTATTCTTTTTGAAGCAATTGTGAATGTGATTATTTTCTTAATTTCCCTTTCTGTTACTTTGTTATTGGCATGCAACTGATTTCTGGATATTAATTTTGTATCCTGCTACTTTGTTGAGTTTGTTTATCAGTTCTGGTAGTTTCTTGGTGGAATCTTTGGGGTTCTCTGTGTGCAGTATCACGTCATCTGCAACTAAGGACAGTTTTACTACTTCCTTTCCAGTTTGGATGCCTTTTATTTCTTCTTCTTGTCTGATTGCTGTGGCTAGGACTTCCAATTATTATGTTGAATAAGAGAGGTGAAAGCAGACATCCCTGTCTTTCTCCTTGTCTTAAGGGAGAATGCTTGTAGTTTTTGCCCCTTGAGTATGATGCTATCAGTAGGTTTGTCATATATGACTTTAACTGTTTAGGTATGTTCCCTCTATTCCCACTTTCCTGAGAGTTTTTATGATAAATGGGTGCTAGATTTTATCAAAGGCTTTTCTGAATCTATAGAGAGCTAGTTCTTTGACCAGATAAACAAGATTGACAAAGCTTTAACCAGACTCATCATGAAAAAAAAAGAAGAGAAAGATCCCAAATAAATAAAATCAGAAGTGAAAGAGGAGAAACAATAACTGATGCCAAGGAAACACAAAGGATTGTAAGAAAATATTGTGAACAACTATATGCCAAAAAACTGGACAACCTGGATGAAATGGATAAATTCTTAGAAAACATACAATCTTCTAAAACTAAATCAGTAAGAATCAGAGAATCTGAATAGACAGATTATACCTAGTGAAATTGAAACAGAAATAATAAAAAAAAAACTCCCAAAAAACAAAAGCCCTGAATCGGATGGTTTCACAGGTGAATTTTATCAAGCGTTCTGAGAACACTCCTCCTTCTCAAACTATTTCATAAAATTCAGGAGTAGGGAAGGCTCACAAATGCATTTTATAAGGCCAGCATTATCCTAATTTCAAAACCAAATAAAGACACCACAAAGAAAGGAAATCATAGGCCAATATTCCTGATGAACACAGATGCTAAAATCCTCAACAAAATGTTAGCACACTGAATACAGCAGTGCATCAAAAGATCATACACCATGTTCATGTGGGATTTATTCTGGGAGTGCAAGGTTTGTACAGTATTCACAAATCAGTAAATGTGATTCACTACATAAACAAAATAAAAGATAAAAACCACATGATCATATCAAGATCAATAATTTTTAGATTGTTTCATAACATAGTGATAGCTGCGAGGTCTATTGAGACAGGTAATGCTGTTTGCTGCTGCCGCTTCTAGTTGCTGCCTCACATGCACACACAGCCCCATACACACACATGTTGATTCTTTCTACTTTTTTCCATTTTCAAATTTTTTTTGTGATCTGTTTTTTGTCTTAGTGTGCCAGTTTATAATACCTGTTTTTCTTAATCTTTCTTATCAAAGTCTGTAGAAATGAGATGACCAAGATTTTTGAGGTTTCATATGAAATGTTATATGCAGACCTTGCTGTCTTCTATTCATAATGGGCATAAAATGGGACAGATTTTGCTGATCAGAAGTTTGGGGTGTTTTTTTTTTCATTTTTAAAACTGTCTTACAGATAGACAGGATTACCAGAGCAATTTTCTCATTAAGTAAAATATTATTGTACCAATTAACATAAGAGAAATGATTTATATTTGTCCTGAAAAACAAATTGTAATGCTATCATCATATACTTGTTCTCTGCCTTATTTTTAAAAAATGGAGTGGGACTAGGAAGATTTGTGTACATATTGAATTTTGTGGGGAAAAAATGTTTTGTGTGCATTGTAACTTCAATTGAACAAATATAACTGGCTAATTGAACGAACCTCTCCAGTGCTTTGTTCTGGGAGAATCTGAAGGTACTTCCCATGGAGAAAATAAGATTCGTATGTGTAGACACTTAGAAAACAGTACAAGACAGATCATGAAGCATCAGATACTCAATAGCCTGAGAGTCATTCTGGAAGAGATAAATATGGATCAGAATGTTGAGGAGGGCTTCATGAAAAACCTGAGGTCTCAGAAATGATATATGAGGAATGAATAAGGCAGAGAAAAGTGAGATACCTTTCTAGACTGGAGAAATTAGCATAATCTAAAATAAGTACAGATTTCAAAGGAGCCTGATAGAGTTGGAAGATACTGATCAGCCTAGTTACAGTATCCCAATTATGTTTCCCTCATCTATAACTTAGAATTCATAGTATTTTACCTTTGCAGTTTGTGGTAAAAAGCATATGAGTGTTTGCAAGAGTGTAAAGTATACTTGAACAGTGTAAGATGGTACATTTGTTTTATTAAGGGAAAATGTACTAGATTTTCTCTTGGTACTAAAGAGCTATCATAAGTGTTTGAACAAATGAATAATAGAATTTCATAGTAATTTGGCTAGACTGATTCCGCAGAGGGGATAGAATCTAAAGGGTCTTGTGCATCACTTAATTATTATGGCTCTAGCGTTGTTATAAATGATTGACAGTATTTCTTGTGTATTTCCCTGATTACCGAACTTTGTGGAATTATACTCATTAAAAATATTTTTCTTTCCCCCAACAGTTTGATAAAGGGAGAGACAGCAGCATCTTTGCCCATCATCAGCTATTCCCTTACCTCATATTCATCTCATGTAGCAGAACTTCTGATGGAATCCAATGTAGAGCTCTTAGCAAAGAATGACTTGCGCTTTATAGATACTGTCTATAAGGTATTTTTAAGTTTATGAAACAATAACTGTTTTAGAAGTCATTGATTTTTTTAAAAGATTAAAGGTTTATAATAACTTCTTAAATATATATGCAGCATGTGTAGTTGGCAGAACATTTTCATATGTATTTACCTCAATTCAATGCAGTGTTTCTTGCCATGAAGATATAACTTAAGATTGCTTTGTTTCATACTTTATTAAATGTTACAGCTGTTACTTATAATAAATGTTACTTATCATTGGTGGTCATTTGCCCTTTTTTATATCAAATTTTAGTAAAATTTGGTATGCTGGCAAAAGTTAGAGAGAAATGTGGTTTTATTGAATAATCTAACCACATTTAGTGTGGTTAACTTTCAGTTCTCAGAGAACTATAAGTTAATTTAGTTTGTAAGAATGAACTACAGCGTTTACGGAGATTCTGTATTTGTTGTGATCTGGGACCATGTCTTACATCTATCCTAGTATTTCCCCTTGTATTACGTACACCGAACTTAATCTCATATTTGATTCCTTTAAAACTCTACTTATTATCATTAATTTTTACTCAAGTACTCTAGTTTTCTTAAACTTTTTAAAAAATGGTAAAACTCATTTATCAAATCAAATCTTTTTTTTTTAAGTAGTGAGTTGCATTTTATGCAATGGGAGATTTTATGTGTAGGGTCTCTGCTTAATCTTCCTGTTCTTTGCCTTTCACCCAGAAAACTTCTATGGAAAGCTAAGAGATAATTCTGAGAAATCCCAGGGTTCAAGAGTAGGTTTAAAAAAATTAGTAGTCTCATCTATTATTCTCATTTTACAAATGAGAAATTAAAACTCAGAGAACTTACTGACTTGTCTAAAAAAAGTCATTTGGTGGAAGAATTATAAACAAATAGAACTATGATTTTCTGATATGTCTGGTATGGTATTTTTTATTCTGTAGTGAGCTAAGGAGTATTCTTATGCCTATGAGGATATTTGAGCTTTTTGATCATTGGCTCTATTTTTCCATCTCTCAGGGCGGCCATCTGTTCGTTGGTTCATCCCTATTACCTATTTCTACCTAGTTATCTCTCCTAACCAGGTGACCATTTATTACTTCGATTTTTGAAAGAAATTGTTCCCAGTTTCTTGTTGGTCCCTTTACAGCTTCTTCGTGATCAATTTAATTATAAACCAATCTTGACGAAAAAGCAGTTTCTCCAATGTGGATTTGCAGAATGGAAAATCCAAATTATTTGTGATATTTTGAATTGTGTGATGAAAAAGCACAAGGAGCTGAGTAGTCTTGAGAAGGTAATTTTCATAATAGATTTTAACTTATGCTCAGTGGCCAGTAGTTTAATGTATAAAATCAAATTCTCTAGATAGGAAATTAACACATAGTATAATTACTGCATTATTCACAGATTTGTGTAACTTTATAATATCTAGTGTTTGCTTTAAACACTAGTCACTGTATTTACACGTTTGTAACTTGGAGCTACTAGTCCTAAACTAACAATTCAAACAGGACATTTTCATCACTTCCTAGTTCTCAAAAACACATGTAGTTTCATAGACTCTCCTTGTTTGACAGTCATATTTCATATTCAAAAGTTGACATGATAATAGAATTTAAATATACATCATGCTTTCACACAAAATTTTTTACATCTTAATACTTTTTTTTTTTGTTTTAGACTCCATCACAACAAAGGAAGAAAATCAGTTTTGTTAAGCCAGAACTTTCCTCAAGCAGCGAGAAGACGCCCACAGAGCCTGTGGGCACCGACATCACCGGCAGGTTTATGACTTCAGGAAAGGTAGGAAGAGGCAGACAGCATGTCAGAGTGTTAAGAGTTCCCTACCTAACTAATCCAGTGCACAAGGTTCACTTGTGCAACTAGCAGCTGATAAAACATTCCAATTAAATATTAAACTATAAGGATTTTTTAACAATGCATACCGTACGCCATCTGGAGACTATTCCAAAAGTTATAAGAGGAGGGTAGAAATGTAAAATTGAACTTTCTCTTTATATTTTTAATTCCTATTTCTGCATTTTTTCCCCAGAGAGAATACAATGATTTAGGAAGGTTATATTATGTGCTCATGAACATTTACTCCTAATTATGTATTTAGTCTTCCGAAAACACGGGAACATATGAAAAGCATACCTTTTGTCATAAGTTATGATGATTCATTTATCTGTGTTCATATCTCTCTATCAGGAATATGAAGCATCCAATGATTGGTAGTTCCCAAACCTATAATGTGGTTTTTGGTTAGTGTTTTAATATCTTGGTTGATGATATCTTCCCTGCCCTTATCTGCTTTGAGCGCCTGTGGCTGAATGAGTCCTCTGTAGATGCATAGTTTCACCTAATCCTTGCTCTCGGGACTTTCCCTTTGTAATTATTATGTTTTAACTGTTAGCTGAAAGTCTGGTATTTTGTGGTTTAATACAAATTTTTAAAAATTGTAATGAGTTTTATTCACAGAGCCATTTCTTAATGTGAATTATGTGGTAACCTTTGTATGATGAAATTATTTTTAAAATAATTTTTTTTATGGAACATTACAAATATTTGCAAAATCATTCTCAGTTTTGGCAACTCTTTGCTAATTTGTTTCATCTTTATTATAACCATGTTTCCCAACACCTTTCCCCCAAATCTGAAACAATTTGAAACAAATCCCAGACATCATTGAAGAGATATTTCAACATTTTTTCTAATCTATAAAAATATTTTAAAAAATCATAAGCACAATTTCATCATCACACATAAAATATTAATAGCTTAATTAGTGTTTGATATATTCATTATATGTGGTATTTAAGCTTTTATAAATGTTAAAGGGAAAATAGATGTTTTTTGCAATGTTACTGTGTGTATGGTTAAAATAATTGTGTGAGGGAGACATTGAAGCAGCCCTGACATTTTTCTTTCTGCAGAAAAAGGCTGTAGTGATCCGTCACCTCTATAATGAAGACTGTGTTAACATTCCTGAGGATACATTAAGCACAGTAACAGATGTTACTGAAGCGTTTGCTGTGTGTGACATAAAGGATACTGAAGTAAAGGCTCCTGAAGATAAGGGCCCTGAAATCAAATCTGAGCAGCAGGTAAGAATTTTGGACTTCTTTGACAGATGCCAATATTTCTTACTTCGAGGTACATGATTACTTCAGCATCTAGACTTTGGAATATCTCTAGTCTTTTGAATTATTAATCATGACACATTGTCTTTGTTATAATTACTAAAGAATCGCAAAGTCTCACTGAATATAACTTGACAGATATTGCTTACTACTTCTATTTCGGGTACTACACTAAGTTTTATGGGTAATGCTGAGATGAATAAGACATAGTACTTCTCTTCAAGGCATTTACAGTATCATGAGATGTAGAGATACATACTTCTTAATACAGAGAAGGTTCTCTATCACCTCCCTATATTGATGAATAGAAAAAATAGGTACACTAACTGCCTTTTCATTTTAATTTTTGGGCCTTTGGTGTCCTTTTCTCTTGTCTCTTAGAGTATCTTTTCTATTACTGTATCACCACAGACCCTGTTAGAGTGTCTAACTTTCATTGCTTCTGCTAATACTCCTTTTTCTGTCTTCTGCCCTGTGACATCTATACATCTCGGTATACAGTTGGTATTTATGAAAACTACCAGACGGCCATTCGCCTTATTTCCTATTTATAGCAAACTGAACAGTATTAGTGTGCTCTCTTTTCTTGGTCATTTCCTCTTAGCTCTGTGCTAGGTGTTGCTGCAAGACAGTTCTATTGTACTACCCAGTGCTGTTCTAAAGAGCCTTATGAAAATTAATTCATGTAATCCTCACAAGAACCGTACAAACTAGGGACTGTTTTTTAATAAGGACCTGGAAGCATGGAGGCCGCACACGTCAGACGAGCAGGTGTGAGCGTCCAGGCGGTCGGCCTCCATAGGCGGCAGTCCGTGCGCTCTGCGATGCTGCGCTTCAGCTATTGAAGTAACACAATGGACATGGGAATATGTGAACTTTTAAAGGAATTTCAGCACGTGTGACATTTCTAACCTCTCTAATCATTTTAGGATGTAGTCGTTAATCCTGAGATTACTGCCCTGCAGAGTATGCTTGCTGAATGCCAAGAAAAGCTTAAGAAACTAGCTCTGATAGAGAGTAGATTAGACTCTTTGGAAGAAAAAATGAAAGGAAAAGTGATGGTAGATGAAAAAACCTGGACTAATCTACTGAGTCGTGTCACTCTTCTTGAAACAGAACTGCTTTTGTCCAAAAAGGTATTTTCTTTTGTTAACATTTATAGAATATCTCAGGTACAGTGAACTTTTTATTTATTATTGGATGTGTATTCCTTTGGAAATGCTAAAAAAGAGAATATTAAGATAATGGGAAAATGTGTGGTGGGGATGAAGTCCTTTTAGACACAGCCTATTTTATTGCTGTTGTGGCCATGAAATTATTTTATATTCTATAATAGCACGAATGGCTTGTTTTACAGGGTGAAGAAAAGTTGGCGGGAGAGGAAAAATTAAAATTAGAACTTCCTTCTCTCACTCATTTTCTTTAATCGACTTGTAAATTTTATAGAGACAGTTACCAAATTTTCCATTGCCTTACCAAATCTGAGAAATTGTTTCTTGATTTACTCAGGATTTCAGTTTCTAATCCTAATCTATCTTTCCTTCCTAAAAAGTAAAGTTAGTAGATTCCAGAAGGTTACTATCTGGTTTCACATTTTAAAGATAGGAATATTTATGTATTGCTTCATAAGTAAAATACTTAAAAATAGTTAAACATTTGTCATGTCATCTGTGTATTTTATGCTTAGCAATAATAATATAAAATAAGAACATTTTCCTTTTCATTTTGTTCTAAATACTAAACTATATTATTCCAGAATGATGAATATATAGAATATAATGAGATGAATGAAGACTATTCTTCTAGTAGTGATATGGATATTCTGAAACCTGGTAAGTTCTTATGGTATTAGTATTAGTGGTATAGTTAGGAGTTTAGGAAAATAATTTTTATAGGTATTTGGGAATTTTAATATTCCCAAGACTTATATTTTAGAAACTGCAAAGCTCCTAGGAACAAAGAAAGCATTGAACTTACAGACTGCTGAAGCCAAGGGTTGCTAAAGAAGCCAGCTTACCTATTTTACATGACATAGTGGTTTAATAAATTCTAGTGTACAAAATTGCAAACTGTTAAAGATGTTTTACCCTTTTAATTACTAAGTGCTATAAGGTAATAAAAATGGTTCTCCAAGTTTCTAATTTAAACTTAAGTAGTATCTTTTCATATGTAAGTAATATATATAAAAGAAGAAAATGCATTTGTCAGCAACCTGTAAACAGTCCACAGTCTGCTCAATGCATGGGATGTAGCTAGTCTTTAAAGGTGTGCCATGTGATCTTGACCCCTGAGCTCAAACAATTGGATCAAGAGCAGACACCTAATCCCGGGAACACCAACACAAAAGGTGTTGAGCCAAATCATTTTGTCTCCCTCCCTTGGAAATTTTGAACTAGGACACCAAGGGTAATAACATCAAATGATGTTGCGCCTGGGCTGGGCAAGGCCATGCTGAAGAGTGAGCAGAGGCGTGGAGCAAATAGGCCAGAAAAGCAGGCAAAAGACGCCGTACGAGAGATGAAAGTAAAAGGAAAGTAAAAGTATCTTTAGGTGTTTTCAGTCCTCATGTGATAATACTTTGTTCCCTAATTGAGGTTGTGTAGGCTTACAATAAAACTCTTTAAACAAGTGTTCTTTTAATTTGGGGGGCGGGGGGACATTGCAGCCGAATGGTCCTCAAGCCAGTTAATTACTTGATTTGACAGGAGCATATCTCATCTGTGATATTCTGTAATTGATTCAGTTGTGGGTAGATTTACCATGAGTTAGTAGTTCACATTTAAAAATAAATTAGCTTGCCTATTTATTCAAATAATCGATGGCTATCATGATAAAGATAGTATTGCCTTTTGTAATCATTGGCCAAATTTTAACATCTAAGTCTTTATATGTAAGTCATTATCCTAGGAGAATATTAAAAACTCATCTGTGTTTATACTAGGAAAGATTAAGTGTTAAAATGTTTATTTTTATTTCATATATACATAAAATATTTAGAAATTTGACTCCATTGTGAAAAGAAAAAACTTAAAAATTAATTTCTCCACAGGGAGAAAAAGCAAAGAGAGGGAAGCAAGTATTCCTCTGTCCTCCGGTTATAGTTCAGTATCAATAGATTCGACCTCCAGAACCTCAACTGGTAATTACTGTGGTTTGAAAGATATTTCAGAGGTAAGAAAAACTTGCAACTGCTTAGAGGATTTCCTTTCTAAGGTCAGAAGAACAAGCAAGCATTAGATTTAGTTCTAGATCCCCTAGGCAAGAAAAGTAGTGAAACTGTGTAAATCTTAATCTCTCATAAAAATTCTTTGTAATAAGTCAACAGTACTTGATGCAATGTTTTAGACTGTGTATTATATGTTCACGATCTGTTTTTGATGATGAGTTACTTTGAGAAATTGCCTAAATTTGTGATTTTTAAATTAAAGGAAACAACAATCCAGAAAATGGAAAGGATGAAAAAAATGTAAGTAACAGAAAGGGGCAACAGAAATTCATTTCTCTATAGGGAATTGTATTGGATTACAGTATACATAGAATGTGCATATGTGTTTCAAACCTTAAAGGTCTCTCGATCAGGTGTGGAATTTCCTTCAGGACTCAAGTGGATAATAAATCCACCTACAGTTATGTGTTTGTGAGATGAGTCACTGTTTTGGTTTCCAACAAGTGATGTAAAACATCGTTAATATAATTAATTGTGGATTAAAGAGTGCAGAGATATTTTTGGTTGATAGTTAATCTAGAGGATTATCTATTTTTGATAACTGACATCAAAATATTATATAATATATGTAGATGTATGGTTTGCAGACATTTTAAGCATTGTTAAAGTATTGCTAGAGTTTTTCAGAAAGGTATTGGTAAGTTAATACTAAGAATGATACTTATATTTAAAGAGCAGTTGAAAGGAAATATGAAATTATTTTTAAGTTATCAGGTAGCCTACTACTTTAAAAACGATAACATTTTTTGAAATTTGAGAAGTACTGAAATAACTTGGCTCCAAGAAATAAAGACTATTGATTGACTCTAATTGTTATTCCTCCCTTCTAACTATGGTACACTTAATTTATTAACAGTAACTGTACCTCTAAAATAAGATAAATATTGAAATTATTTTAGGCTCAAAAGCATAATTTTAGCAACTTAAAACCTATGCCTCATTATGATATTTATTTACTTAATGTATTATTTATTATTTTTCAGGTTTGAAGAAACTGCAGAGTTACTAAAAGGTTCAAGTCACTAAATATAGAATTTGTCTACATGAACTTTTCCAGGATGTTGGCTGCTGTACATGTTGTATATTTTAAGAATTCTCATAAATTTTAATATACTGCAAAATTTTTATTAGGAATCTTAATTCCATTTGGTAGATGAGCTTTTTCATTCAATATTGAATACTTAAATATTTTTGTGCTGTAATTATATAGTTTTATTCTGTTTTACTTTTCCTAGGAAAACTCTTGTACCAGTACATTTCTTTTACAAGTGAAGTCATTACAGCACTGTACTTTCGTGTTGACATTTGTTGGCAGTGTGCTAAGTAATGTGTTTTTTAAAGTACAGGCTTCAGGACCACAGTTTACATCCTGCTGGAAACACTCCAGCTGGGACTTGCATATTGTACCCAGGAGGCTGTCGTACATACCGTTTGCCATCTGTACTGATGAATATGTCGTAATGAAAAGTTAAAAATCCTCATTGAAAATTAAATAAAACAAAAATACGACTTCATGCTTAGTGAAAAGACAGCAACACATTTTCAGTTAACCTTGAGAAAGTGCCGGTATGATTCTCCTTTTGTGTCAAGAAGGAGGCCGGGAAGTTCACTGTGGAGGGCGTGTTGAGGATTTCAGGGCCCTGCTCTGTAACACGTCTCAGAACCAGCAGCAGAGACATGGATGGTGGCCGTCCACTATTACAAGCTACACAGTGAGGGGTTTGGGTTTTTTTTAAGTGATGGGAAGTAGTATATTTTTCTGGAGAGAGAAAATGTCTTAGATAAAGTTAAATCAAGAGAAAAGAAATTTACTTTAAATTAATAAATAAATTATTAATTTTTTAACTTTATAAATAAAAATATAATAATCATCCTGGATAATTTTCAAGAAAATTGATTCCATTATTTGGGAGGAAAAATAAGAGTACTTTTCTTTTTTATTATTGTTTAGTAGTTAATCTGATAGTATATCACTTATCCATCTGTTTATATGATATATGTGTACTTTGGAATATGTCACATATGAAACACTAACATTAAGTTAAAATTCTAAGTAGAAACAACTTTTAAGAAAGCATTTTTAGTATTCTAATACATGCTTAGTAATTAGACTTTAAAATTACAGGCTTTTGAAATTCACATGAAATCTCACATTTAGTAGAGTTTCAGTAAATATTTCTAAAACAAATCCAATTAGCTTTATATTTTCAATTAAAAAATGTATCAAAATCAAGAGCTTAAATACTCTTATCAATTAACTTCTAAAATATCAGTACCAGCATGGAATTATAGCACCACCTTGTGGTTCATATGCCACAAAAAGTATTTTATCTTTAACTAAAACAAGTGATTTTCCGTACAACAGAATCATATTTTTCCTTTTGAAAATCTCAATTCAAAACTTCAACTTTTTTAAAAAGAGACATTGTTAAAATTTTCTTGTGCAAAGACAAAAGAAAAAGGCTCCTTTGTCTCTTCCTCTCCTTTTTTCTTTTTTACTAATTTTTAAATTTTTAATTATACTTAACACTCAATATTTCCTTTTTTCTTTATACGCAGTACATTTACACACAATTAGATGATTTGAAATTTTTTTTAAAAGATTTATTTATTTTAGAGGGGAAGGGAGGGAGAAAGAGAGTGAGAGAAACATCAATCAGCTGCCTCTTGCACACCCCCAGCCGGGGACCTGGCCTGCCACCCAGGCATGTGCCCTGACCAGGAATCAAACCGGTGACCTTTTGGTTTGCAGGCTGGCACTCATTCCACTGAGCCACACCAGCCAGGGCCGAAACATTTTTATTATCTCAATTTACATATAGTGTGCAAATAATAAATATCAAATGAAAATATAGTAAAAGTTGTCTTATGTCACCAAATAGAAATTTGGAATCCAAATTTTATTACACTGTTATCTAACAACTTAAACACTTACTAATAAAATCACCTCATGGTAACACAATATATATACACTTAGAATCTTAATCTACTGTTTTGACAGCATAATCTTTGGGAAAAAGGAAAGCAAATTTGATTTAGCTGAAGTTATTGGATACCCATATTACTCATTTTTCTCTTTTAAAAACTTCAGAAAAAGTTAAGCCTTCTCTCAGGCAATTTGGTAAGTAGCTTGTAACCATACATCATTCCCTTTTGATTAACTTGAAGATCTTAAGAAAGTGAGACGAAAATCCTGGAGAGATTACTTGGAGCTCCGTAACTAAACCTGTAGTTAACTAGAATTTTCACTACCTCTATCCCCTTAATTGTCTCATAAGCTGGATGACAAGTATTCATTATACTTACCAGAAAGGCACCGGCAGCTGTTGCTGCCTTCTCTGCCCTACATGCTGAGTGGGTCTGGATAGAGGTCATACAGGAACACTCTAAAGAATGCATAAGGGAAGATATGAGAACAGATTAAAAAGGGGTAACATCAGCCATGTGAAAATTCTCAGCAAAGCAAAGGACTATTTTTTTTAAGTTTATTTGAGCCAAACTGACGACATGGCCAGGGAGCAAGATCTCAAATGTTCCCGCTAAGGACTAGTAAGTGGGGAAAAGCACTTCTATATTTTTTTTTTTTTGCTTGTTTTACTCTAGTATGCAATGTTTTAACATGTAATATAGTCCCTGAAAAATAAAAATTAAAGACTTTGGAACTGCGTTTTATGCCATTCATTACTCACAACTTTATATAATTGACAAGCACTTGGGGAAACATTAAAAAGTAAAAGAACCTTGTCAATTTTACAAACTACAACACTTTTTGAGTTCAAATAACATTATAGATTTAATTTTTACTTTTTAACAATCCCCAGGTTTGTGCTCTTTCTTTCAAGCTGAAGGATGTAGAGAAGGTGATGAGGTGGGGTTAGTGTGAAACTTTAAAGTTAACCTACAAAATCAAAACTTTTAATTGTTGTGTTACTTGAGCCTTAATGCTTCTAGTGAAAATGGCAGGTTCCTTATACTACTCAAAAAGCGAAGAGAGCTGGAAAGGCAGTACTAGGAAGCAGTAGCAGCACTAAGAACATGCGCCTTTCTTTGGGAGGGGAAGTGCATGTTCATTTTATGATGATTTTTCTTTAATACAGGAATGGAGAGACTATATAGTGTGTACGTTTTATTTTCCTCTCTGAAGTTCACTAAATCATTAGGAAATTTTAATTGGATTAAAACTTTTTAAGTTCAAAATATTCAAATCAGCACTTTAAGATTTTATTTATTTCTTTATAGAGAGGGAGGAGGGAGAAAGAGGAGGAGAAAGACATCAATGTGTGTTGCCTCTCACATGCCCTGGACTGGGGACCTGGCCTACAACCCAGGCATGTGTCCTGACTGGGAATTGAACCAGCAACCATTTGGTTCATAGGCCAGCACTCAATCCACTGAGCCATGCCAGCCAGGGCTCAACTCAGCACTTTAAAATTAAGAACAGAGTATTTAATTTAAAGTATCCCAAACCAAATGCATAAATTATTTGAATTTTATATTATGATGGGTATTAAGAAAAAGGAGAGAATCACAATATTAATTGCCCAGGAAAGTTGAGCAGTGGGAATTAGAGTGATGGGAAAGCTGAATATTTTGGAATGAGTCCTAATTTGTAGATCCAATTCTTCAGTTCATTTAAGTTGATGATACGTACTTAGAGTACAATCAATTTATTAAATCACTGGGTGTAACTCTTCAATTGGCTGGTACTGAAATCCTGAAACACACTTGTGGATACCTACTAGGATTATTCTACACCTGTTTCTTAAATGCCTTTTGTCGTTTCTATGAATGGGACTGTAAGCTCCCTTATCTACTCCAACCACTCACTTTTCACTTTTGTAATTCACCAGTAAAATTTACCTGAGTAAATTTTTTTCTTTCTGGGGCCTCAGTAGGCAATGTTTCTACTTTTATTATCTTGCTGTCACTGAAACGTCTCAGATTCTCTAAGAATGTATCTCTGTTAGGATATTTATGAAAAAAAGTTCTAAAATACACCATGGACTAGTTACTGGTAGTTATAGCTGTAAAATTATTCAAATTAGAATGCAGCCAGGAATGATCATTTTTAGAGTCATTACTGACTCCATTTTTCTCACCCCCCACTTTGATAAGGAAGCATTCCTTTTATAAGTTGCAATTCAGGTGGTTTTTTGTTTTAGTGACCTTTGCTGTCGATCCCACACAACCGGAGAGAATGACTGCTCCCGACCAAGTCCTGTTCTTGACACTCCCATTGCATCCATTCACCTCCTCTCCCATGGCACTGCGTTCCCTCTTCTCATTCTTGGCTTGCACTAGTCCCTGACCTCCCTACTTAGAGTCTTGCAATGTTCCTTTGATTATGCTTTTCTGCTGCTTACAAAGCATCTTTAAGAGTTCTTATTTCTCTTGAGCAAAGCCCAAACGTCTTACCCTGGAGAACAAGCCCATTTCTCTAAAGTCTCATCTGTTTTCCCAGCAGCAGCTTCTACACTTCTGTAACTCTGTATACGTAGTTTTCTCATAAATCATGCTTTTGCTCACTTTACCTTTTGTTGGAAATGACTTTCCATCTTGCAAATTTTTACTTACGCTCTAAGAAACTGGCTTCTTTGGAAAGGCTTTCCTCAGCTCAACCACCCAAGCCAAATTGTATGCTCCTGTCTCTTTTCTGCTTTAGTGCCTCGTTTATACTTTTGACTTTTACACCGATTTCATGGCTCTTATTTCTTTATATGACTCACCTCCAATATTCTGCCTTTGGATCTTCAGTCATTCTTCCCATGTCTACTACTGCCTAGCATTTGTTTATTTTTTTCCTTCATTCATTACAAACTAACTGGTACTTCATTGTTGGCTGAATGAATATCAAATTATAATTAAGTTATAAATTATATCAAGTTTCCAGATAAATAATATATATCAAGTTGAAAGCTGCAGTCTGGCCAGTCATCCTATATGCTTTTAATGGAAAGAGTGTATTGACGAAAGAAAGAAAGAAAGAAAGAAAGAAAGAAATCAGCATGTGTTCTAGAAAAGCGGCATAATACTTCATCGGTATGTTAATAGATGAATCTAGATTGAAAGTTGACTGAAGTGTCAACTAGGCACCAGTCAGTGTGTCAGGCACTGGTTATAGGCAGAGAACAAGATAATCATGGCTCCTGTTCTCCCAGAGCCGACTGCTGCATGGCAACGGCAGTTAAATAAGCCACAAGTTCTAATAAGTACTAAAAGGGAATGCGGTGCATCTGAGTAATCTGGGGTGGAGGAAAGCCTTCTAAGAGGAAGTAATTCAAATCTAAATCCTAAAGGGTGAATAGGGATAGCCAGGGAAGAATGTTTAAGCAAAAGGGCTAGCAGGAACAAAGGCTCAAGTTGAAAGACACGCACTAAGTCTAGCTGCTGAGTGTGTGTGGTTGGAGGGAGAGATCACAGGGGCTAGGCCAGCTTACACAGGCCCCAGGGGCAGCATGCAGTTTATTTATTGAAAAATTTAAGCGGCTGAATATCATGGTTTTTGAAAGACTTCTTTTAGTGCTGTATGGAAGATGAACTGGAGGTGGCAAGGCTAGAGGCAGAGAAACGGCTCAGGAGGCTACTTGACAACCTGACAAAGAGACAGCAAGGGTGACTCAGGGTAAGGTGACAGTGGAGAGGGAGGGAAATGGGATGGGAGAGAATGCATTTCTTCCCGTTTAAGGCTACCTTCTCAAATAAGAAGGTCAATTCAAGGCTCATCTTTGACTTAGTATCT